AAAAAAAAAGAAGTTATTTCAAGAAAATGACTTTTCTTGCATTTACGAGTTTGTCTCAAAATGCTGACTGGTCTGATAGTTTAGAACATTTTGATATAAGCTCAGTATTGTGAGATATCAATTCAGAGAAAAAAAAGTTGAATTGTGAGATAAAAACTTAGAATTGTGAGGGGGGAAAAAGTAAGAACCGTGAGATTAAAAAGTCCCAGTTACCATTTTAATTCATTTAATATATCAGGTTTCTGTAGCTTTTTAAATTTTGTATTGCAAGAAAAATGTATGTGAATATTTCAAGTTATATAATGTATATGTTTTCTTTCTTTTTTTCTACATAGGTACTTGTTTTAAGAAATGCAAGGGGGATGAAACCATTTTTGACATGATAAAAACATACAAAGAAGGTGAGAAGTTGATTGGCACACTTGTTTGACATTTTAATAACAGAAATTTAATGTTGTGTTGTCTGGATCTGTCAGTTGAATGACTACCATGATATTTCCTTTCTTTTGCTATTAGATTTGAAAGAGAAAACATCTTTACAGAAAGAGAAGAGTGCTGAACATCTTGAGGTTGTGTCGGAGATTGAAGACAAAGAGCACCACAAAGCGCTCTTATTTCAGAGAATCGAGAAGCTCAAGAAGGATCAGGCCAAAAACCGGGAATGTGTGTAATCCTTTCATTTCTCTCATGCGACGTTATGTACCCAACGCTGCTGGTAAATAACTGTCACTGTGTTGTTTGGATGATTTTGCAGCTCAGTATGGCATCCATCAGAGACTACAATGTGGCGGAGCAGTTAAGCAGCAAACTGGAGGAGATCAGGACCAAACTGCTGGATCAGGCCATGGGAGAAGTGCTCAATGGAAGAGTGACAGAGCTCTGTCAGGAACACCGGCGGTACATGAAATCCGTCTTCGGTAAGAGATGCATGGGATTGTTTATGCTTGCTATGGACTATCAGGGTTCGAGTTGAATGTGCAAGTGTTATTGTTAATATATATTTTAAAAAGATTACTTGTGGGATGGAAATTAAAGTAGGGCATGTCAGGTTAAATATCTGTCATTATAATCCATCTGCATTTAAAAAAGGCTAGGTGATATATGGTGAAAACTGAATTATATTGTGGTGTGTTTACAATTTGGAAGTTTGTATTTGCTCTGAACACTTTTGTTGTTGTTGTTATTTTTATTTTTTCTTAATTTATTGAATTATAATTTTAATAAGTTTATTTGTATAGACCGCTTAAACGGATTCACAGAAACTTAATAGCCAAATAAAAAGTGCATTAAAATCATGATATTCACAATTAAGCTTTTTATGGAAGCTTGATTCTGCCCCAGGATTAAAAAAAAAAAACAATTGCTTTTTTATCTTATAATTCAGACTTTTTGTTCTTTCAGAAATAAATACAAAATGAGATACAATCTTGCAATTCAGTTTTTTTGTCTCTGCAATGAAAAAAAAAGAAGTTATTTCAAGAAAATGACTTTTCTTGCATTTACGAGTTTGTCTCAAAATTCTGACTGTTCTGATAGTTTAGAACATTTTGATATAAGCTCAGTATTGTGAGATATCAATTCAGAGAAAAAAAAGTTGAATTGTGAGGGGGGAAAAAGTAAGAACCGTGAGATTAAAAAGTCCCAGTTACCGTTTTAATTCATTTAATATATCAGGTTTCTGTAGCTTTTTAAATTTTGTATTGCAAGAAAAATGTATGTGAATATTTCAAGTTATATAATGTATATGTTTTCTTTCTCTTTTTCTACATAGGTACTTGTTTTAAGAAATGCAAGGGGGATGAAACCATTTTTGACATGATAAAAACATACAAAGAAGGTGAGAAGTTGATTGGCACACTTGTTTGACATTTTAATAACAGAAATCTAATGTTGTGTTGTCTGGATCTGTCAGTTGAATGACTACCATGATATTTCCTTTCTTTTGCTATTAGATTTGAAAGAGAAAACATCTTTACAGAAAGAGAAGAGTGCTGAACATCTTGAGGTTGTGTCGGAGATTGAAGACAAAGAGCACCACAAAGCGCTCTTATTTCAGAGAATCGAGAAGCTCAAGAAGGATCAGGCCAAAAACCGGGAATGTGTGTAATCCTTTCCTTTCTCTCATGCGACGTTGTGTTAATGTGTAGTGGACTATGCTTAAAGTAAGGGAGGTAGAGAGAGTGATCCGTTACTACAGATGAGTGAGTTTTCAAATCATTGCAAAGAAACACTCACAAGCATGATTCATTTGTGAATCATTTACTAGAAATATTTCTGAATGAAATGCTGTATGTCCAGTAAATCATATTTGTTCATTCATTTTGCCATGTTTAGTCTTTTTCCTGCATATGACTGTTATGTTACAGACAGTTAGACACAATGGACAGAGGTTTACTTTATTATTGCTTTCTATCCAAGCTGATGTTACTAATGTTAGCTTTATGCATTTTTTTATAGTGATTCAGTCACAAAATAAAGCCAACAAGGACAGACTGAAGAAGCTGAACAAATGTAAAGACATCTTTCAGAAGCCCCTCAGTCTTGAGATCAAAAAAATCCAAGGTAAACTTTGTGTTTAACTTTAACATACAGTGTGACTGAAGTACGAAGTGATTTTTTCCCTTTCATTATGTATTAGATGCATCATTCAATTTCAAAGTGAGGTACAAACCACATTTAAAATCCGTGATTTTATTTCATTTTAACCTTGAAATTAATCAAGTGTTGATTTGGTACTTTTTCTAGGTCGGTAATCTAATGTAAGCAATTGAACTTTTCACTCAAATTGTTGTTGCTGATTATATATGCTGCTGATTATATCATTTAAATATAAAAGCATTTTAGCCAGACACAATGGACAGAGGTTTACTTTATTATTGCTTTCTATCCAAGCTGATGTTACTAATGTTTGTTTTATGCATTTTTTATAGTGATTCAGTCACAAAATAAAGCCAACAAGGACAGACTGAAGAAGCTGAACAAATGTAAAGACATCTTTCAGAAGCCCCTCAGTCTTGAGATCAAAAAAATCCAAGGTAAACTTTGTTTAACTTTAACATACAGTGTGACTGAAGTACGAAGTGATTTTTTCCCTTTCATTATGTATTAGATGCATCATTCAATTTCAAAGTGAGGTACAAACCACATTTAAAATCCGTGATTTTATTTCATTTTAACCTTGAAATTAATCAAGTGTTGATTTGGTACTTTTTCTAGGTCGGTAATCTAATGTAAGCAATTGAACTTTTCACTCAAATTGTTGTTGCTGATTATATATGCTGCTGATTATATCATTTAAATATAAAAGCATTTTAGCTTGTGGTCTTAAACTTGATTTAAGATTCGCACCTTTTGACACTAGAGACACTAACCATATTTAATTTGTATTTATTTATTTTTAAAGACATGTTTTATCAGTCCCCCTGCTGTACCTACAGACTTTTTTTGCTCAACGTCTTTGTGTTGTTACTAAAAAAAATAGTTTGAACTTAAAATGCATGCTGAAAATAATTTTACTAAAATAGAATAAATATAATTTGTTACTTCCAAACGTTTGCACTTAAAATGCATACTGACCAAATGCATGCTGATAATAATTTTACTAAAATAAAATGTGTTACTCCAAAAGGTTTCCACTGAAAAAGCATGCTGATAATAATTTTGCTAAAATGAAATAAAATATGCATACTGATAACACATTTATCAACATAAAATGAAGGGAAAAAAATTTACTCCCAAAAGCTTGCACTTAAAATGCATGCTGTTAATAACTTGACCAATAAATTAAAACAAAAAAATTATATTCCCAGAAGTTCATACTTTAAATTGCATGCTGATAATAATTTTATTAAAATAAAACGGTATGCTTCTAGTACTAAATAGGTGCTTTTTCAGCAAGCTTACCTTTTCTTTCCATTTAGTGATGCTGTCACTGAATCGATGTCTTGATTTTGGTTTGCCCTCTATCTCTGCCAGACTGTGAGTCAGTTTGCAATGCGTCGCCTCCAAAAGGTCCAGTTTGAGGATGGCCTACAGAGAGAGAGAGCAGTCAATATACAGTTTGTAAAAACCTTTTTATTAAATACCTTTACATGTTTAAAGGGATCATATGATGCGATTTCAAGTTTTCCTTTCTCTTCGGAGTGTTACAAGCTGTTTGTGAATAGATAAGATCCCTAAAGTTTCAAAGACTAAAGTCTCAAACCCAACGAGATATTCTTTATAAAAATTAAGACTCTTCCACGCCCTCCTAAAATGCCTCGTTTAAACACGCCCCCACATGTCTACGTCACAGTGTGGGAAGATTTGCATAACGCCACCCAAAATACACGCAAAGAAAGAATGCGTAACTTTGATTCTCGCTGTAGTATTGTTGCCACGCCGCAATGTCGTGGAGACGCTGCGTGTTTTGTTGTGAAAGCGAAAATACTTTGTTTGGTCTTCCAAAAGAGGACACGACTAATAATCAGTGGTTAAGTTGTATTTACAACACTGTTCCAGAACAGTTTAACCCATATATTCGTGTGTGTACAACGCATTTTACGGAGGACAAGGACTGTTTCCTGGGAGAGTAGCCTACAATGCCGGTTTTCTGACAAATAATGCTGACTCACAGCCTGTAAGTACGTTTTCATATTTAAAGAACTTGCCACTGATGATTCAAACGCGAGTTTTGAGCAGTGTAGAGTAGCGCTTGTTGTTTGTCATTTCTCCGATCACAAATGCAGGCATGGTTTTATGTTTACGCGGCGCGATGCAACATGTAAAAAAAACGTATTAAGTCATTATAATCAGTAATTATGTCCCCACTGGATGCAACAAATGCCTCGTTTATAATGGGTTTTAATGTTTCTGTCTCGTCGCTCCGGCCGGGACACGGCATCACAGTATGGTAAGGGATGTAACATTTCCGTCACACGCTTGAGGTATTCGGCCAATCACAATGTACTGGATAGCTGGCCAATCAGAGCACACCTCGCTTTTCAGACCGATGAGCTTTGTAAAAAATCTACGCGTTTCAGAAAGGCGGGGCATAGAGGAGAAACAATAATGTACAGTATGTGGAAAATGTGTTTTTTGAACCTTAAACCGCATAAACCCATTTCATTACACAAAATAATGTTTTTTTTTTAACAACGTCATATGACCCCTTTAAATATACAGGGATCAAAACAGTTGAATGAATTTTTTTTGACAAATTTATGCAAAGCAAAGTTATGATTAATATTCAACAGAACATTGGAATGAAATGTAACATCTGACCTCATCCAGTAACTGTTCCGTTTCCTCCAGGTTTTTTTGATTGGAGAAGTTTGGCTGTTCTGTGTATACTTTCACCATTTTCTCTAAACCTGAAATCCAGATTTATGTGTCAGTGTTGAGCTAAATGTCATATAATGAACAATAAAAACAGGACAGAACCACCTAATAAGATCTCTGAGGAATAAACCAGTTCTGTTTAAAGGGGGTCATATCATACTTTTTAAAATTCAGTTCCCTGAGGTCGAAGTAGTTTTTCATGAACTTCCTACAGTTTTCACTATGATTAGTTCTTCTGGTATTTAGGAATAACAGTATCTGTCCTGTTTCTTCCTTTTTATATAAATGTGCCCTTACAGGCAGATTTCTGGACACCAATAGGTGTCTTTGACATGTTCCTTCAACTTAAATGTTCATGATATGACCCTTTTAAATCACATACGCTCAGCTATGAATCAGTATCTACAAGATCCAAACCTTCTCTGTCACTTTTTGATTTCGTGATGCAGTCCTCCAGACGCTGAAGTTTGGTCCTGATGGCATCTTTCCTTCTGTCTTTTCTCATGACTGTTTTTCCTTCTTCCTCCTGTATAAACGCACACACACACACAAACAGCAACCCATTTCATATCAATTCTGCAACACAAATTTGTGTTGTAAACTCAAAAGACTTACAAAGTAGTCAGCCATGAGAAATTCAGCTTTGCTTTCATCCGCTGTAGCGCTGACGTCCTCGACCAGCGACTGAATGTCCTTCTCCACATCAACTTTGTGTACGGCCTGTTCGATCTGTTTATGACTCTGTTATCAAAAACATTCAGCAAATGCAAATCCACCAGTAAGTCTGACCTGAAGTCAGTTTAATCGCTTCAAGAAATGCTATAATAAAAGACATCATTGCTAGGTTTAAATTATGAATTGAATTTGAATTGAGGTGTGTTGCAGAAAATTCTTTAAGAATTCAAGGGGAAAAATGTGTCGGTGTAGCGTTTATTTGATTGTATTATTTCTTTTATTGGATTATTAAAAAGAAAAAAAATAATTAAGGAGCAGGTTAATTTCCACAATACTTACATTTGCTCTAAAGCCTTCAAAACTGTCTAAATATTAAAGAATTAAATCCATTTTAAAATTTATTTTTAATTATTTTAATAATAAAATAGAATTAAAAAGAAAAGATGATATTGAAGCCAACTATTTATTTATCTTTATGAAAATATAAAAAAACGAAGTGTGGACCTTTTGTGGTTCTGTAGCCTTTTATTATTGTTTTGTTTATTTATTTATTTTTTGGAATGTATTGAAAGTACTGAATTCTATTTTAATTCATCTGTGGCCATTTAAATTCAAATTCACACTCGTAAATTCAAAGAGAGCATCTTAAAATCAGAATTTCTCCCAGCACTTTTGAATCTGTTAAAGTTACCTTCAGTGTTTGGTGGGTTCAGTTACTCACGTGAACGACGGTCTGTGCGTAGACAGTCATGAAGAGACTGTACTTGTCTAGGGTGTTGGACAGAGTCTCTATTCTTTGCTTCTCAAGCTCCTGAACAATCTGAAACGCAGAACTGAATCAGTCAAAATGCAATGGATTTCAGAGAAGATGAAAATGTAAAGATGTGGAAATCAGCTGGAACCTGATAGCAGGTTTTCAGCGTGTTCTCCAGCTTCAGTCGGATGTGGTGACCCTCCATGTTAGTGTTAAAATATTCCTCATCAACTCTGGCCTGAAGCTCTGCTGATTTAGTCAATCTGTTCAACATCTAGATGAAAGTAACGTCACAAAAATACCTGTTAATTGCTTTTCCCTATAGCCAATTAACCATCATATTTACCTTCTGTTTTTCCTTCTCTGTACAGATTTGCTTATTTTTCTCCACAAAGCTGAAGAGAGCTTCATGTTCCCTCGTCAACCCAATCAGCTTCTTTTTCAGCTGTAAAAACACATTTCTGCTCAAAATATATCCTCCTCATGGCAAAACAAGATGCAAAAGTACTTTTGAATCTCACGTTAATATAGGCTTTTCTGGTCAAATCTCGATAAACATCTGTACCTTTTCTTACCTTAATTTGTTCACTCCAGTTTGTAAGAACAAGCTTTCCAGACTTTTCAACGGCGTTGTCAAGCTGTGAACATACGAGACTTACTGTAGTGTAAACATGCTGCTGTAAATCTCAATATAAATATATGCATAAACATTAAAGAAGTAATTCACCCAGAATTATAAAATGTACCAATGGATCCTGTGCAGTGAATGGGTGCCGTCAGAATGAAAGTTCAGACAGCTGATAAAAACATCACAATAATCCACAAGTGATCCACACCACTCCAGTCCATCAATGAACGTCTAGTGAAGTGAAAAGCTGCGTGTTTGTAGGAATCTTCAAACTGTTGATTCCTGCTAAAATATGAGTCCTCTATCCATAATGTTGCTTTCTCCAGTGAAAAAGTCATCTTGTCTGAATCAGGAGCGAAATATGAACAGATCAAGCACCGTTTACATGTGAAAACAGTCTAAAACAAATATGTGGGTGGATTTTGATGTGAAAAGTCCAAGTCCTGTTGTCCTGTCACTGGAGGAAACGTTATTATGGATTATGGACTCATATTTTTGCCAGAAGCAAGGGTTTAAAGTTAAATGCCTTTAAGATGGATTTGTTTTTTTACAAACACGCAGCTTTTCACTTCACTAGACGTTAACTGATGGACTGGAGTGGTGTGGATTATTGTGATGTTTTTATCAACTGTTTGGACTCTCTTTCTGACGGCACCCATTCACTGCAGAGGATCCATTGCTGAGCAAGTGATGCAATGCCAAACTTCTCCAAATCTGTTCTGATGAAGAAACAAACTCATCTACATCTTGGGTGGCCTGAGGGTGAGTACATTTTCATTTTTGGATGGACTATTCCTGTAAGTGACATACCGGTCTTTTTCTTTTCCCGTGTTCATCTAGGATTTGACGGATTTCCTGAATAGCATCTTGGTTGAGAGCACTTGCCAGTATGCTGAAAGAATAAGCCTGATATAAATACACAGCAACCCACATGAATAATAAAAAGAGGCTGATCCAGTGCAGTGTCGTACCGGTGGGCATCTGCTGAGGCGTACATTTCATCTGAAATGAAGGACCACGCACGATATGTGGAGCTTTGAAGAGGAAAAGCTGTCAATGAGTTTGCAAGGCAAGTGCATCAAATATTAACCTGCACTGCTGACACGGTTAACATGACGTGCAAAATTCGGTCTGATTTTCCAGTTACGCTACATGAAAAGCAACACTATATAAGATGCTAAGTATTGTTTTCCGAATATGTATTTTTAATATGAGTTTATTTTGTCTTGCACTTGTTTTTGAGTTCTTTATACTTAAAACAAGTGGGAAAAAATGTCATTGCATTAAGACAAAATAAACTCGTATTAAAGATATGAGAAGATCTAATATCTTATGATTTTTTGCTTTACAGGTAAATTCAGCTTGTTTAAAAGATTTTTAAATATTTCACTTATAATTATAACATTTGACCTATAATATTATTACATATATTTTTACTTATATTTTACTTTAAAAATATTTTATAAATTCCTTCTACTTCATTTGCATGTTTTAATGTTTGCTCCTAAAAAACAGATTTTAGGAATATAAAAATTTTCGATATTATTCATGCAAACCTCATAAAATGAACTGAAAAATATATATAATATCTAAAAATACATTAGTGTATATTTCCTCAAAATGTTAGAGCACACATTGATTTTGGGACTAAAAAGCTAGCTTTTTAAAAAAAATTTTTTTTAAAGATGTAGCACCCATTGTTGTTATTTTTATAATATTTTTATTCATATTATATCTAGCTTGAACTCCTGAGGTTGATGATTAGATAGATAGACAATCCATCTCACTTGTCACACATCTCTTTCGAGACTTTAAGAAGTTTCCCTGCGATCTTCTGAAGTCCTTTCGAATAGTTGAGCTCCAGTTCAGATCTAAATTCACAGAAAACAATGTCTGTTGTATTAGTCATGCTTGTTTGCTCAGGTCAGTGAGATTCTGCCCTGAACATTTCAAGGATTTCAGGGTTTTGGAGAACTACTGTGTTCTTTTCCATTGCATTTTCTTCTCTTGCGAATGGAAAGTCCGAGTACCTTCAGTGTCTTAGAGGTCAAGTACTACAACGACCTCAAGAGAAGAAGAGCAGAGATCATATGTTACCTTTGCTGAAAGACGGCCAAGAGCTCTTTGCAGAAAAACTCGCCATTCTTAGAGATTCTCTTCAGATCCTGATACAGCAGATTATACTGAAACAGAATATACAGCCTAATTAAACAACAAACAATCTATCGTTCTATTGTTCAATAGAAAAGCAATGCCCAAGCAACCACTCAGGACATCTTTGAAACTGCCTCTAGCATCTAGAAATCAATCAGTCAATCTGTCTTGTCTCTCTGTCTAAACTTTCAGATGGATTAAAAAAATGTTGGTGGACTTTTTCAGGCAAGCTTTGTCAAGTTGACAGCAAAGTCCAGACAAACTTAACTCTGTTAATAATAAGCAATATGGAGCGATATTGTGAAGCAGACGTCAACACATCTGAACACCATTATGCTCTACAACAAATATCAAGTTAATAGTTGAATTTATTTGTTTTGCCAGTAAAGTTAAGAGAATTAAATGGCTCTGGACTCACAGTACAGCTGCTCAGCGGGTCCTTCATCTTCACACTAGTCGTACTTTAACTCTGCAGATCAAACTTTGACCCTGTCTGTTCCTGAAGAATGCATGCGGAAATCACCTGTGTGCCTGTGCAAGATTATGGCATCATTAACCCTCCATAAAACCAGAGGAGTGGCGGAATGCAGCTTCAGTCTTTGCTATAGCAATCAATGTTTCACTTTTGTTGGCTGGTTTAATGGTTGTCTTGATATTGCCAGCAGACAGTACTATAATAAACAACCATTCAAAAGTCTTGAAACATCTATTTTTCCCCCCTCACATTTCAGAATCATAGTTAATCAATAAAATATGAAATAACAAAAATGGAAGAATGTGCTTTTTAAAATAATGATTTCAAAAGATGGTTTTTGCACTGATGCCACTGAATAATCATTTTGGCTTGCTTTCAGTAAACCATTTTTAAAGGAATAGTTCACCAATAATGAACATTTGCTAAAAATGTACTCGCTCTGAGGTCATCCAAGATGTAGATGAGTTTGTTTCTTCATCAGAACAGCTCTGGAGAAATGTAGCATTACATCACTTGCTCACCAATCCTCTACAGTGAATGGGTGCCATCAGAATAAACAGCTGATAAAAAACATCACAGTAATCCACACCACTCCAGTCCATCAGTTGACGTCTTATGAAGTGAAAAGCTTCATAAGTAAATGTTCTTTTTTTTTGGTTCGCTATTCCTTTAAAAGAAGTTTAAAGGAATCCTAGATAATGATATATAGACCAAAATTTCCATTAAATGATGTATATTTATATATTTTTTTAGCTTTGATTTTTCTGTAGGTTCCAGCTCTGGACAATCAAAAAAAAAAAAGTTTTCTCTAGTCTTTGTCAATTTTTGTAAAGAAACCCATTAATGGCACAATTTATTACAATGTATGATTTTTTTAAAGAATGCTGGACTCTGGTCAATTGTAGAATTCTGTGGTGAAATATTTGCATGATGCTGAACTGCAAACAGTCAAATTGCAACAATGGTTGATTTAAAGGGTAAAACATCTGAACTTAAAAAAACGAGGTATTTATGCTGCAAGCAAGAAAGAGACTATTCAAATGTGTTGTTACATTGTATGTTTCTTTTTCTTCGTAGTATTTCTTTTAGTTTAATAATGCTTTGACTCTTTTATATGCAAACAAAATCATGAACTTAAAAATGAATTGAAATTGCCCATATTTGCTAGCTGTTTTGCAATGAAAAATGATGTTTGTACATAGTTCTGGCTGTATGAATAGTGAAAAAACAACAAGTGGATCAGACCGAGCACCAAAACACTCTTGTAGCCAATCAGCAATAAGTGGGCGTTTCCGTTCATGATGGGGCGAGAGTCAGAGAATGAACAAGTGGGAGATTTGTAGAAACACTGCAGAAAGAGAGATGTTACCAAAGAGGAAATGTCAGAGGACCATCAATGGAAAAATGAGAGCCAGCCCAGCACACTAATATAGGAAAGGTTTTCCAGCGCTGGAGAGACGTTAGAGAGCGGATGCTGCAGTCACAACCGGAGGCTGAAGTTGCTTTGTGCTTGATACGCGAGTAACATTGGGTTTGTTGTTTCACAGAACTAAGATATACTGTAGCAACGGGATAGTTTTCAGTGTTTGTCTGGAGCTGGTGTGCTGGCGACTAATAAGGAACTCTTGTGATATCTTCGCTTTTTGTTTTCTGTTCCGCTTTTCCCACAACTTGTCACGTGTAATGGATTTGTTACTTGTCTATGGCGTTATTTGGGGAACTCGGAGCTAATCATGAAACTGCATTTGCGAGTCAATGGGGAGTCGACTTCAAAAGAGTCGATTCCTCGACTCTGAATAGCCGTAGTGTCGGGTTCGATTCTAGCACTGGCATCTTGTTGTCGACTTCGTTGCTGTGTCTGAAATCGCTCACTTTCACTAATCCCTATAATAGTGTTTCTCGTGACTTTAGCTTCTTTAAAATTTCATGTATTGGCAGCAACTAGGAAACGATGGTGTACTCCTCATTTCAAGGTGTCATCTCTGAACTGAACTTTTAATGTAAGGCTTCGTGTCGAAAAAAGCCTACATTTAGTGTGCAATATACGACTGCCATCTTGTACATTTTTCTTATTGCCGACCCTGTAAGTAAATGGAGCTGAGTCGTCGATTCCGGGAGTCGCCTCTGAAAAACATAATCGAACACCCCTATATTAGCATTTGAGGGCAGAGCAACGTGTAATTGTTCTAGTCTCCGCCCACTCCTCCCCATGCACCAGTCAGAACGCTCATATCCACATCGATCAAAGCAGCTGTTCTAGACCTGGAGGATTATAGGGTTAAAGCTGATGTACTGGAGCATTTGAAGGGTCGACTCCAAGATGGTCAAATCTCTAAAAATATATAATCTTTCCGGCTGCAGCTCTTCTGTGTCTGCTGTTTATAATTATATGAAGTTTTCATTATTATTTGGGATCTCTTTAGAGGTGCTGTATCCCCACAACACCTTAAAAAGACAGTTTCTTATTAGTTATCCTCTTCACTTTATTTCCCCCCTTTCAACTTTCTGGAAAGATGAATGCAGGCTGCAACAGTGCCATATTAAAGAAAACTGCTTCAAAATACCATAAACATCTAATCTTAAATTAAGATAAATAGAAAGACCGATGCAGCCAAAACAACAAAAGCAGCCAGAAGGGTTTTGGTCTGTCGTGTTTATTTAAAATACATGGCAACATAATTCATTAGTACCGCTGATAATCAGTTTTCCAGCAAAGGCAGAGAATACAGTTGTCTTTTTTTTTTTTTTTTTAAATCTTCGCCTTTTTGACATCAAATGTAAATCACATAACACAGCAACCTGGCTAATTAGCTGTAGCGCTTCTCCAGCTCAAAACAGACAGCAGCAGCGACCTTCCCAACACTGAAAGAAACAGCATCAAAACACTCGAATCAAAAGCTTTAAATAAAGCTCGGCTGAATGATGATCAAATGCATGAGGAAAACCGGAATAATCTATTATTCTAAACTCAAAAAAGCTCATAAAAAAAAACAGACAACATAATAACAAATAAGACCAGTGTTTGGTGCCACTTATTCATCAAAGTGCCTGTAAGTTTGTTCATTCAAACAGTGTGATAATTTGATATATTTCATGGGATTCAATGAGAAATGATCATCAAATATAATCCCGGGACATTACTAAAACACTTTCCTTAAAAGAAGCAAGTCAGGCAAGATTTCTCGATAAAATACAATAAGTGTCCCTTTTCTTTTCAGCACCTGAAACACTAATACAGGCTTCCCGTTATCAACGTACACTACCGTTCCAAAGACTTATTTTGAAAGAAATGAATACTTTTATTCAGCAAGGATGCATTCAACATTATTATTTGGGATCTCTTTAGAGGTGCTGTATCCCCACAACACCTTAAAAAGACAGTTTCTTATTAGTTATCCTCTTCACTTTATTTCCCCCCTTTCAACTTTCTGGAAAGATGAATGCAGGCTGCAACAGTGCCATATTAAAGAAAACTGCTTCAAAATACCATAAACATCTAATCTTAAATTAAGATAAATAGAAAGACCGATGCAGCCAAAACAACAAAAGCAGCCAGAAGGGTTTTGGTCTGGGGGGGTATGAATGGTATAACATCATGGTATAATGTTTTTTTTGCTAACATTATTAAAGATCAAATAACTTTGAACAAACATTGTATTAATGTTACTGGAAGAATGTTTGTTCATAACTGACAGAAGTTTGCCAGAATGTGGCCAAAGTTATGTTACTCATGTCGGTACTAGTAAACTGTCAGTGTTATTAAAACGGTTCAACTAACTTGCTTCAACTTGCAAGATTCTGTTCAAAATATTGTGCTTTGAATTGCAATTTCTTTTGGAATGCACAAAATCAAGTATTTAACATTTATATACTGTACTTGCGTAAGGTATATTTTGGGAAACTTTTGTGGATGCTCGTCTAATGTTTTCTAAAAGTACATTTAAAAGTAACGTTCCCATAATGTTTGAAAATTATCAAATTAATTGTTCTAGTAACGTTCACAAAACCAAGAAAAAATGATTCTAAAACATTTTAAAAAACTACATTTTGAACATTCAGAGACCCTTTTTGTAACTTAATGGAATTGTTAACAAAACGTTCATAGAACATATTTTTGTTAGCGGATAAATGCTTTTAACTACAGGTGGACAGCTGAAGTTCCAACAACACAACTTTGTGATGCATTTTGCATATGTTTGTTGGACTTTGTGACCATAGTTGGCTAATAATGCTTTTAGGAAACACACCCAGGGCGGTTCTAGACTGGGCACCAGCTCCAGCACCAACATCTTGTCGTGGAAAAGGGGAACGCATGTTTAAAAAAACCAAACCAAAAAAAAAACACAGAAATGCAAATTTATTAAAGATACAAAAATTAAAGGAACACTCCACTATTTTTGAAAATAGGCTCATTTTCCAACTCCCCTAGAGTTAAACAGTTGAGTTTTACCGGTTTCGAATCCATTCAGCCGATCTCCGGGTCTGGCGGTAGCACTTTTAGCTGTAGCTTAGCATAGATCATTGAATCTGATTAGACCGTTAGCATCTCGCTCAAAAATGACCAAAGAGTTTCTATATTTTTCCTATTTAAAACTTGACTCTTCTATAGTTACATCGTGTACTAAGACCGACGGAAAATGAAAAGTTGAGATTTTCTAGGCCGATATGGCTAGGAACTATACTCTCATTCAGGCGTAATAATCAAGGAACTTTGCTGCCGTGCCATGGGTGCAGCAGGCGCATTGATATTATGCAGCGCCTTAAAATACTCCCCAGCTAGGTAACTTCCAATAAGCCTATTTTCAGGTGCTGCGTAATATCATTGTGCCTGCTGCACCCATGGTACGGCAGCAAAGTTCCTTGATTATTACGCCAACTATTATTGAATCGAAACTCTTTGGTCATTTTTGAGCGAGATGCTAACGGTCTAATCAGATTCAATGATCTATGCTAAGCTACAGCTAAAAGTGCTAGCGCCAGACCCGGAGATCGACTGAATGGATTCGAAAACGGTAAAACTCAACTGTTTAACTCTAGGGGAGTTGGAAAATGAGCCTATTTTCAAAAATAGTGGAGTGTTCCTTTTAATAAATAGAAAATAACACTAATCCAAGAAAACTATTGTTCCCATGATGCCAGATTAGTTGACCGCAGCAGCATGCTCACGTGATTATGAAATAAAGATCAACGCTTTCATTCACTTGCTCGAAAGAAAAGCGTGAGCCGCACTGAATC